ACCATAGCAACTGCACCATCATCTAGGGCAAATGTTATCCCTTTAAATCAATAAAATGAAGAGCTGTCCCATAAATGCCCAGTGCTTCCAAAGGAAGAAATGACTTTTCAATAAAATTAATTTCTTTCAGGACTTCACCATTCATCTTCGTTTGTAATCCCAGAGTTTTTTTCCCAACTGAATAAGGGATATTAAAAGCAAAATTCAACTTTGTAAAATCCAAGGCTGACCTTTCTTGTATCTGTTTGCAGAAAATCATTAATTCTATTACTTCCTTGAAACACATAGCTTCATTTGTGGCTTTTTCATTCATCTACAGGAGGCATCATGCTAATTAATTTGGTCCTTGGACAGAGCATTGTGAATTCTGAGAGGACAACGTGGAGAAATGTATCAGAGCACGCATGTCTTTTCTCAACTCTTAAGAGATCATTGTAAGTGATGCAGCAGACAGCAGAGTTCTTGTGGGCCCTCACTTAGTACCTGTGGGACAGAGGTTGGCTCAGTTAGTTTGACTCCATCCTTGGGCAGAACTGAAATTGTTTGGGAGTATTCATGACGATTTATTAATATATTAAAACTTGGTACTGTGGTAAAGTTTGCATCCACGAAGTGTGAGATTTGGACCTTAAAAATTAAATCTAATATGTCAGACCTTTTTTCCTACTTAAAAAAGTGTCAATTTTAGTGTCAGCTCAAAACATCACAGGCTGTGGGGAAGCATGGTTGGTACCTACCCATGTCTCCTGGTTTCAGAATGCTGAGAAGGTCTCCTAGCCTCCAAAGACTTTGCTTCCTCTATTTTCAGACTCGTATTTTTTTTTCACATTTAATACCTTTGAAATCAGGATATGCCTAATAATTAATGGACATAATTTTTTATTGGCAGATTTTTCTTTCTTAGAAGTACACACAATGATGATGGGGAAAAAAGTAAAACATTTATTGCCTGCTTATCAGATATCAAGCACTGAGATAAGAAATTTATAGACATTATTTTGTAGGAGGCTCACATGAACCCTACGAAGGAGGCATTTTCAGTTTTGTAGAAAACAAACTCAGTGTGTTATGAGACTCCAAGATCACAAGCTGGCAGGTGTCAGAGTCAGACAAACACAAATCTAGATGACTTTAAGATAATCTGAACCTTTGGATTCTCCATCTGACTTGCCCTCAGCTTGTTATCTTCATAAATAGTTTTGCAAACCTTTAAATTCTGGTGCTAGGAAGGACCTTATGAGTCATAGGGTCCAACCCCATCATGATGCAGAAGAGGAAACTGAGGCTGAGAGAAGTAACTTGCCCAAGGCAGTCACAAAGGAAGTTGTGCCACTGAGAATCAGTATGGCTAGGCCAGGGAAGGGAGCTACCAGGCTCTTGCAACATCTCCATCTCCTGCACAGATTGTACACTCCCTAGTCCTCCCTGTCTAGGGCTGCCCACCCTGGACCAGGCCACAACCTTTCAAGGCACTGACACTTAGCTCATTCCTCTGTTTTCACGCTCCCCTAGACCTCAAGATGATTGCTCTCCTACGCCCCTTCTCCCCTCTCCTTACCCCTAGTGAACTTGTATCTTGTGACTCATCCTTCAAGGTAACAATGAATCCATGTGAAGATAATGGAACAAGATGAGAGAAGATTCCCTAGGGCCTGTGCTTGGAAACATTGAGCACATCTTTGCTACAACAAGAGAGGGACTTTAGTGGTGGGAACATCAACAGGAATGGAAGGGAAGGTGGCAGATACAGGCTAAATGGAAGGGAAGGTGGCAGATAGAGATCCTGAGATATTCTGCAGGTATCAGGGCCTTAAGTAGCCTTAGAAATCATACAGCAACCTCTCACTGCCTCTAGAGAGGCAGGTGGCATGGCACAGTGCACAGATTGCAAAAAGGTGGCATCCGTATACCATTCCCCTTTCCTACACTCATGATGATGTTGGTGGGCCACAGCCTTCTGCACTGGGAATGGATTCAAGGGCCTTTCTTTTTTTTTTTTTTTGCGGTACACGGGCCTCTCACTGCTGTGGCCTTTCCCGTTGCAGAGCACAGGCTCCAGACGCGCAGGCTCAGTAGCCATGGCTCACGGGCCCAGCCGCTCCGCGGCATGTGGGATCCTCCTGGACTGGGGCACGAACCCGTGTCCCCTGCATCGGCAGGCGGACTCTCAACCGCTGCGCCACCAGGGAAGCCCCAAGGGCTCCCTTCCCTTCTTAACACAGTGTTCCAGGCGGCACCTTCAATTGACTGCAGTTGATTACGGGGATGAAACAAACCTATTTGCCATCCTCAGTGCTGTCAAAGGCTTTGAAGGCAGGTAGCTTAGAAAATAACTGAGCCTCCATTTCTCCCAATGGATAAAAGGAGATATTAATCTTTGATTTACAGAATTGTTATAAGATTTAGAGACAACATATGTCAGAGCACAGCAGATACCATGGAGTCTGGTACATAGTAGGTGCTCAGTGACTGTAAGTTGTCATCCTTAATGAAGTTAATGCTGATGGGAAGTAGTCAGGATGCCACAGCTCCGCATTATAAGGAAGTTGGGGATTGTGAAAGAATGGTACTCTTGGCCTCCCTTTGTTGTCTTTCTTTATCTTGTGACATTGCAGACACAGGTATGAAAGTTTCAGGTCTCATTTAAAAGGGTTGAACAGCCTCAGGTCAGGACGGCAGCTCACCGCTGATTGGCTAGCTCTTGGCCCAGCAAGTTAGGACTCTCACGCCAGGTAAGCAGTCCGTCCCTATAGTACCCCAGGTCTGGTTATGCTACTCACAGGCTGAAGCGCTGAAGAAAGTCCTTTATTCCAAGCCTAGTTCAATTTCTATAAAATATATATAATAATCTGACCCTAGAGATGGGTGTATTGATGGTATAGTGATAGATTCACTAAGGGTTATTATATGTTTTGAAAGAAAAATCAAACCCTTAATGAGTAGCATGTTTATTTAAAGAACACCTTTCTTTGCAGAAAATAGAAATGTTTTAACTTCTTTATTTTGTATCATTTATTTATTTAATGTGCATCTTAAATGGCTTGGGCTATGTCATTATTAGCTATGATATGTAAACTCCTAAAGGCAAGAATGTTTGCTTCATTTATTTTTTAGAGCACCCCGAATAATGCCATGAACAGTGAGGTTTTTTCATCCATTTACATGCTACAGTTGCAGACTGGAATATAAACTGTATCTCACACTCATAAGGAATACCATTTCATTCTTAGTTTAGACTTTTAAGAACCTGAAATCAAATGAAACAGTTCCATTACAACAGCATTGAGTATCCTTACATGCAGCACAAATGGATACTTATTGGTTTATTTTAATTTTTAAAGTATCAATATTCATTGACTTTCTATTACAAAAGCCTGCCCCAAGTAGAAAATGTGAAAAATGCTGAAAGCTACTTAGAAAAAAAGTCATTTTTAAGTACCATGCTGGAAGATAATCATGTTGAACATCTTAATATTTTTTTCCTGTGTGATTCATTTTAAAGTGTTATTAATATGATCTAATCCTTAACTCATTTTAAGACATTCAAATGTTTCTTCTCATTGTGATTTCCATCCTTTCAGTTAGCGATCCCATGTTCTCTCCAGGAAGAATTATTGTTTTGTTATCTTTCAATATATTGAAATGTGTTGTGAGTTAAAGGAAAAAGAGTTTGCCCTGAGCTGCTGGTGACTGCCTCCTGTTTCGAAGGAAAGTTGTGGTTACCGCGAAGGAAAATCTAATCCATCTTGCCCCAGTGCACTTGGTCTCCCAGAGCCAGGTGAACTACCTTTGACTGTTTCCCTAGGATTATGTCACCCACCAAGGTAACTTTCTGTTTCAGTAGGCGATGTTAAGAAACAAAACAACACCCTTTAAGTTAATCACTTTTGGAAAATAGAGAATGGCTTTATATCCCAAGGCTTTGATGTGTTTAGTGGTTCTTGTAAGGCTCTGCCTCCCTTTTGTTTTGATTGACGAGACCTTTCCTATATATTTGAGCAATCAAGCAGCCCAGTAACAGAGGGTAGAGGCATTTACCCAGAGCAAACTTGTACCGCTCATTGTGACTTTCCAAAGCCTTGGGTGCAAGTTTCAGCTTTAAAGAAGAGGTAGCTCCAGTAAAATCAGGTAAGTGCTTCTCCATACTTCTAACTTCATTCTACTTGAGGGTAAGTCCGGATAGCCTTGCTAAGGTGACAGATCAGAAGTAGGAACTGGGAGATCAGTTTGGGAATAAATAACTTTGCAGCCAGTTTTAAGTCATAATGAACTGGGGGTGTTCTATAAGTGTAGTGTCCACCCTCATTTCAACATCCAGTTATGTTCCGTCTGGTGGGCCAAGCATGAAAGGAGTGATTCTGGCTCCTGAAAAAGCACAGGAAATTACCAAGACCCAGAGAGGATAGACAGTAGATTGGTAGTTGACAGGGGTTATGTTTTAAATACCCGTGATGCTTTCCATCATTTGGCTTTAAATTCACTCACTACGAGGTGCCTATTAGAGTGGAGGTTAGTCGAGAGGGAATTTGTAGCAAGTAGGACACATTCTTATGAATGGCCACCAAGTCAGGTGTGAGGATTCACATCTGCATATCCAAGTTTTGTGGTGGGTTGGGTTAGTAGCAATACGTATGGGGCATACAATTATTGTTTATTTACCTCCGCCCTCCATTCCCCATCCATGATGTTGGAAATATAATTGTGAGCAAAGCATGTAACATAATTCCAAACACCCTGATCTGAATAAGAATTTGTATATATCCCTGTATTATGTTAGGATATGCATTACTTTTGGTGTTACTCATATTCTGTGTTCATTTTGAAGAGACGATTGGGACAAACTTCTTTCACTCACAAGTCAAGTCCAGCAGGTGGAATGCTATAAGGAAAAGCCTGAGGATGCCCTTGGAGGGTTGGATGTCTAGTGAACTCAGTGGGTCCATGGAATCCATATTGGAGCCACTTGGAGGAAACTCTGGGCATTTGTGTTGGAGTTTGTGGGCACTTACAATTTCTTGGCTCATTTCTCCTGAAATGCTAAGAGCGATGTCCCTTTGATAGCGACCAGCACATTGATGGCAGTCCCATGGAGGCAGCTGGATCTGTTAATAAATTCTCTTTCCTCTCCCTCTCGGGGAACAGTATGAGGCTGGCATACCTCTTCCTTGGCCCTGCGGCCCTCCTCCTCCTGGCTGGCTGCGGCTGTGTCCTCAGCACCTCCGGCGGGAACCTGCACACGTTTGTGGGCTGTGCGGTGAGAGAGTTTACTTTCCTGGCCAAGAAGCCCGGCTGCAAGGGCCTTCGGATCACCACGGATGCCTGCTGGGGCCGCTGTGAAACCTGGGAGGTGAGTCCCAAGACAGGCCTAGGTGGCAGTGCCTTCAGGGTCAGCCCCTTGGCCTGGTTCTTAAGTATTCACTTTTTAATCAAATGAGTTAGAGCTGGGGTATCTAAATTTTCCTGTGGATCAAACAAACAAACAAACACAAAACAGCTACATGGTATCCTCCAAAAATAATCTGAAAAAAACAAGATACTGCCCATCTAACAAAGCATTGATAAAATTAATAATTTGATCGACACAGGGTTGTCTATTGGGGAATCATCTCTGGGAGGTTAAGATGTGCTATCTTTCTACCCATTTTATAGATGACATGGAAGAATTCAATTGGTGGCTGACTGCAGTCATGTAGGGGGTCAGTGGAAAGTTCGGAGTAAATTCTTGGTGCAAGCTTGTAACCCAAACTCTTCCCTGTATTCCTCCACCAGTGAAAAAGCCAGCCAGTTACCGAGAGAGGCCCTAAGCGAAATAGCAGGCAAGGGCGGGTCCTCAGCCCCTCCTTCAGTGCCTCGTCCACAGCCACACTCTCTTCCCACCCCCTAGAGTAATTCCTGGGGCCCCTCAGGGATTATCACTGACAGATCCGTTAAGGCCCTTCATATACTATTATATCCAGCTTTTTAAGAGACAATACATTTAAAATGGGCTATAAGGGATGGATCCCCTCCTGGAGTCATGCATCCTCTCGCCTAACTGAGCCAACTTAGAAGCCCACAAGCGCCATGAGAAGACACTGCCATTAGGAAAAGCATCCTTCTATTCAGGGACTCAGAGAGCAACCTGCTGTCACTTGGATAAAATTATGGCCCCGGGATTGGAATTGGATTATGGTGGTGAAACCTCTAACTTAAATGAAATGACCCCACCAAGTTTGCTTCATTTCTTTCTATCATTTGGGGGCTTGAGACCTAACAGTGAGATGAAAATTCGGTTGTTGCAGATACTGTGGCTGTCACACGACATCAGACTTATGCGGGAAACTTTCTTGTATTCAGGGCGTGGTCTGGCAGTGCCTTCCCCTGCTCACAGCTGTGTCAGGCTATTGGGAGCTCTCTGTGGGCCAAAATCTCAAGTTACCATTTCCCCTTAATTCACCCCATCTTCTCTTGCCCTTATAAATCAGTGAACGGCTTTAATTGGGTAATGGTCACCTGCAGGAGGTTAGGGACTCTGCTCTCACTGGAGAAATGGAAGCACTGAGACTGTGAAAGAGCGAGATTCTCCTTAATGTCAGCAAGCTTTTATTTATGCCTTTACTGTGCTCTGAAAAGGGAGGTTACATCTAGAAAATAAATAAAAGAATGAGATTTAGTTTCCCCACAATCTGAAAGTTTCTGAGATACAAAGCACTTATTTTTGGTAATTTAACTGGGAAGCCTGTCTGAAAATAAGGGTGTTCATGACGACAAAGTGGCTGGATTTACTTTGAAGGTGGAACTATTGCTGAAAATAGCCTTTGTTCCTGGTCTGGGTTTAGGGTTACCAGAGTTAGCAAAAAGCCCAACCAAACCAAGCCAGGAGGCCACTTAAATTTGAATGTCACATAAACAACTGTTATTTTCTTTTTGATATAAGTCTGTCCCATGCAATATTTGGGACATACTTATACTAAAAAAAATAGTTGTTTATTTGATATTCAAATTTTACTGGGCATCCTGTATTTTATCTGGCAATGCTGCCTGGGATTCCAGATTACTGAGGGTAAGAGGACATGAAGCGAACTGAGAAAGGGTAAAATGTTACCTGAGAAATAGGAGGAAGAAGTGCATATTGAGTTCAACTCTTCTACATGGTCCTTGACAGAGGCAAAGCCATTATTTCCATGAGATGCATGTAAGAACTTCATCCTGGGCCTCCATTAAACATATTTCATTTGCCCAGGACAAGTGTAGCTGTTGTCCTCTGAAAGCTTGTTCGTTGTTATTATTATTGAATACTTCCTTACTCTTATAATTGCTCTGGTAAGAACAATAGATTACATTTACTGAACACTTACTTGGTGCTTGGCAGGTATTACATACACCATCTTACCTTATCTCCACAACAAGGCTGGGAGGTAGGTATTTTGTTTTACAGTTGAGGAATCTGAGGCTTCAAGAAGTTAAGTGGATTTTCCAAGGTCTCCAGCAAGTGGCAGAACAGGGATTCAAGCTCAGTGGCTCTGACTGCAGGGTTTGAGATTTTAACTACTACTTTGTGCTGGTTTCCTGATCTGTATGCTCTGTTTATCAAAATGAACTTTGGATGCACGATTTCTAAAAGGTGAAGGAAGGAAGGGAATCCCTCGGTTATCAGAACCAGCGCACAGGGCATTCAGGAACCTGCCTTGCTCTGTTTTCTTTCACTGATTCAACGAATAGTTGTTGAGAACCTCCAGGGTGCCAGGTATCTCTAGGGAGTAGAGGCACAGCAGTGAGTAAAACGGGCAAAAATCCTTGTCTTAATGCAGTTTTCTTTCTAGAGTGGGAAAAATACAACACAACTAAATAAAACACATAATATGTCACAGGGTGTTGACAAGTGCTATGGAGAAAAATAAAGCAGGAAGAGGGAGAGGAAGTGGCAGCGTGGGAGGGGAAACTTGGCAACTTTAAATAGGATGGTCAGGAAAGGCTTTCCTGGGAGGGTGACGTTTGAACAAAAACCTGAGTTTGAAGAAGGAGTGAATCACAAGGGAGAAGAGCGTTCCAGGCAGAGGGACTAGCAAGGGCAAAGGTCCTGGGGTGGCACGGTTCCTGGTGGGTTTGGGGAAAAAGCAGGAGACTATTGCGGCTCGAGCAGAGTGAGGAAGCCAGCAAGACGGGGTCACTGGGGACATGTCAGAGGTGAAGGTGCAGGGAAGATGATGTAGGGTCTTGAGGGTGATTGTAAGATCTTTGACTTTTGCTCCCAATGAGATAGGAAATCATAGAGGCTTTGAGCAGAGGGGAGATAGGATCTTACATTTTAAAAGGATCTCTTGGGGCTGCCCTGTCATAAATAGACTATAGGGGGTAAAAGAAGAAGTGAGGGGACCAGTTAGAAGGCTTTTGCAATGATCAAGACTATTCATTTGCTAAGTATTTATTTAGTACCTACTCTGTGCCATGGGCTCTTCTGGCAGTTCGGGATAGTGAGTGAACAAAACCACCTTCCTGCTTTCAGGAATTTGCTTTCTACTGGGAGGAAACATATTAACAAGTAAAGAAACGAATAACAAGCTAGTCTCTGAGAGTGATAAATGGTCAAGAAAATGAAGCACGATGCTATGTTCTAATGGGTTTTCTGTTTTCTACCTGTGGGGACAGAAGCCCATTCTGGAGCCCCCCTACATTGAAGCCCATCATCGAGTCTGTACCTACAATGAGACCAAACAGGTGACGGTCAAGCTGCCCAACTGTGCCCCGGGAGTCGACCCCTTCTACACCTACCCCGTGGCTGTCCGCTGTGACTGTGGGGCCTGCTCCACTGCCACCACGGAGTGCGAGACCATCTGAAGCTAGGCGACCCTCAGAACACAGCTGGCGGCCTGCGGCCTCACGGACCCACCTGCACGGGCAGCACAAGCAGCTATACCCCCTGCACTCAAGGACTGTTTAATTTCGACCCTACTTGTGGAGGAGGTTACCTGTCTCCCTGACCCACCCTCAGGCGCAAGGCCGAGGCAGCATACTTATGCTAAAAATGCAAAACAACACTTGTGCCTTCGCTAAAATAATTTCTCTGGTCCACACACTGCAAATTAATTTTTCTTTACCTTGAATCTCAGAACATAATTCATATATCACAACCCTCCTCCAATTTGGATTTTTAATAAGCCAATGTTTTAAATGCATTGGGCATAATTGGGAAACGGGCCTAGAAAGACTTTAAATTCTCATGTCTTATGTAATGACAGGTCTCCAACTGGATTTATGATTAAAGCACCAGAAATTAATAAAACCAATGTTTTAGTCCTCATGGCCTTCAAGAAAATCCAGTTGCAAGCTCCCTTAGAGAAAATACTTTCTTTTCCTTTTAACTGAGCAATTACCGACACAAGAAATAGAGACTGCTCAGATTAAAAAAGGGAGGACGATAGAGGCTCAAACTGAAAGGTGTCTGGATTTGGGTGATTCTTTTCCCAAGCAAAATTCCCAAGGTCCCTTTAAGATCCTTAGAAAGAGACCCCTTTGTGAATAAAAAAACTCAGAAAAAAAAAATGTAATCAGAGCTATCATATACACTTAAAAAAAAAAAACCTCACGAAACTAAACTCATGTTTTTAGACTCATGTGATGCTCTCCCAAAGCCATGCCCCAAATGATCAATCACAATTATTCTTTCCAACTGGGCATATTTTAAATTTAAATTGTAATTTTTTAAACTCAAAAGTTTTACATGTTTGTAGGGGTAAAAGTGTACTGCTGACTCAGAGGAAAAAGTCTGTGATTGTCTAGCTCTTGCCCTCGCTAAAATCTTACAGCAGCTGATTCTCTGTAACTTTAAAAAAAAAAAACACTCTAATGTTACACAGGTGTCTTTAATTCTGACATTTTTGGGGTTGAAATGAACCTTGTTCCTTTTTCACATTATGCCAGGAAAATCTGTATTAATGCCAATAAAGCATGCCCTCTGTCTTTTGAATTCATGAAAACTTTCAAAAAAGTCTTTTTCATCTTTAAGACCCTTGGAATAACAACAACAAGCACACTTAAAATGAACTGCGAGGTTATTTTTACTTGCACGTTAATTTAGGATGTCATATTTAGTAAGGGACACCGACAGATGACTGGGTACCATGAGTCCCAAAGGTGGCTCAATCTGTATTCACATCCCTGGCATTTCGTCACTAGGAACCAGGGGTCCTCCTTGAATGAGGAATCAATGAGTCCCCATGAAAACAGTAAGGCAAATGTTAGGATTGATGGTCCAGGACTGGGATGCTGAGGTGGACGACCAGGAACAAAGGACAAGAGCAAAATCCATCCCAACCTTCAGTGCAGATCTGTTGGCAGGCAAGAGAGCCGCTCTAACATGAAAAGTACTTGAGTGCCTTGGGGTCTCTGCTGGGGTGGAGAACGGGGATTAAGGATAATACTGGATGGCACCACTCAGGTGTTTTCAACCCACGCCTAAGAACTTCCCTCAGGAGTTTCTGGGAGAAAAAGCTGCTTCTTAAAGAAACTTAGGGAAAAAAGCAGAAGCAGGATGGGCTTGCCAGAATTTGAGAAAAGATGACTGTAGCATCCTTAAGGTTCCTGGTGGGAAACAAATGATATACTGCGGTTGCATATTGAGGAGAATTCAATGAAGAGACTATTTACAAATGTGAAGACAGAGTTAAGGAAACCCACAAGGGGGTGGTGAAACACTCCTAAACACTTGTTTGAAGCAATGGGTAACCTAGGCCGAAGGACCAGGAAGAAGTGATGATCAGGCCCCAAAGACAACTGTAGGAGAGGAATGCCTGACAGGGGCTGTGGCTTTTCATAGGAGGATGCAGCCATTACCAATGTGAGGCCTGGGAAGGAGGGAAGTGAGCAAATACTTCAGCCTCACTCTGCTCCCACGCCCTGATCTTCTGCCGAAGCAAATGGGAAGGCAGAGAGTAAGGGAGCCCATTGGTTCAGCTCATAAATGTTGGCAGCCTGGGAAGCAGGTAGGAGAAGAGTGGATCTAAGGGGGCCAATGGATAAAATCACCCATAGGTATCTTATGGGAAGCTTAGCAGGAATGCCATAGGCAGTCGTGTTGGCCATGTGGGCCATAAATCCTGCAGCATCACAGTTACTCAGTAAGACTCCTCTGTGATGAATTGGGATGGGATACAGGTGGAAAGGTATGTGCTGACTAATACAATATTGACAACATTTGAGAGATGTGGGAACAATGGTAATTATCAGGACTGGATTAATTGGTTGTTGAGTGCAATCAAAGCACTCAGGGCTTTGATTGCCCTGAGTGAAAGGGCAATGAGGCTTCAAATGAAAGCTTTGCTTGAAGAGTCTCTTCTCCTGAAGCTGGAGGGCAGACTGTGCTGAAATTCACTATTAGGCCTCAGACCTAATTGGAAGAGCAGGTGAATCATCAAAAAGGCTGAATCCATCACCCTGGCAGTCTCCTATACTTAACGTCCTCATAGGGAGGGAGCGGGACACAGAGACCTGCAATGGGGACAACCCCTAGATGAGCTTGAGGTTCCCTTGCTGAAGGGGCCGGCTCCTTCTTCCTAGAGGAGGCCAGCCTCCAGTGCCTGGAGACCAGGCTGAGGCCCCATCTGAGGAGGCTGCTTTACACGATGATAACTTGCCCTCCTCAGATTCCATCTGCAACCCCTCATTTATTCTACATGGATAGTTAGGGTCAAGTCTCAGGATGACCCGGCTGGGGAATGACTTTCCCTGTGGCGGGAGGCATGAGATTTTCCATTGAAGGAAACTCAGGACTTGACTAATGCAGACATGGATCCGGGGAATGCGCTTGGGAACGGATCTTAAGGGTGTCAGATGGGATGAGGGGGAGGGTGGCAGAATATAAGCCCAGATAAGAAGAGTTTATTGGGGCATTCTCTCATGACTCAGGATTTAGCATCTTCATAAGGGAAGCTGGATCTCGTTCCAGTTTGCTGTTGGGATGGCTCCCTAAAGCTTGGAGGAAATGGTGGCTTACATGAACGAAGAGAAGACGCCAGACTGTCCTGGCAGAGTATTTGAGGACTAAAGACTCAGAGAAGGGGGCCTGCTATCTTCACCTGGAGAGTTCATTGGATATTCCCCTCTCTAAAGCCACGAGGAATGCACAAGTGAAGGACTTCAGCATCACAGAAAAGCTCGATAGTGGCTGTCCTTTGTCGACTGGGTTGATGGCAGGAGGAACTGCCATGGACCGGGCTTCCTGGTATCAGCAGAGGTGAGAGGGGTCTGGAATAGCAGAGACCTGGTGGTACCATGTAGCTGTCAGAGGCAAGGTGAACGTAGTTGCCGTAACAGGCAGAAAAGCTGCAAAAGCAACTGGAGGGCTGTAATCTGCAGGATCTGTGGTGCTGGCTAAGACAACTTCTACAGTAAGTATTTATTACAATCAGAAACATTATTAATGAAAAGGGGGAAATGTCTGTCACTGATAAACTTGAATCTTTTTCAAATCTCTCTCTTCCCTCTTCCTGTCTTCTCCTCTGCCATTCTCTTTTTCTCCCTCCCTCACTTCCACGAATATTTATGAATCATAGTTTTGTGCAAGGCACTGTGTTTGGGAAGTAAGATATAAATATTGCTACCATTTATGGATTTCTTACTATAAGCAGGACCCTTTATATTAATTCTTTGTAATTCTGTGTCAACCATGCTCACAGGCATTGTAATTGCCATTTTACCATCACCATTTTACAGACGATGAAACCAAAGCTCAGAGAGGTCAAGTAACCTGCCCAAGATCAGACAGCTGATTGGCAGCACATGCCAGGTTTCTCTGAGCCAGAACTAAATTCTTTCCATTGGAGCATTATGGCTTTTTGGGGTGTTCCTTCCAAGTTGTTCCTGCCTGGAGAAGTCTTTGAGTTTACTGACGTTGGACAGTCTCTCACCATGATAAGCATGTGAGCAGTCTCTTCTGGAGGAAACTCAGTGCAAGCTCGGGTTGTTTTATGGAGATTGTAATTTTTCTCTGGTTTCCTTTATAACCTCTAGCAAGATAGTGCTTTGCTACAGCTCAAACCAAAGCTTATAACAGGAGAGACTGAGGGAGAAAAGGAGCAGAGCCTCAAAGGGAAATTCAAAGAGACTGCTGTGGAGATGAAGGCTGTATGCCCTCAACTCATCTCACAGGTAATGTGGACACTGGCAGAGGGATGGTGGTCCAGTGCCTATTGGGGGAGCTCTAGATAAAACCAACTCTCAGCAACTCCTTACTCTTGGAAATGTGTTTATTTTGCAATTAACAAAAGGTAAAGAGAAGGAGAATTTCCTAGCTTTTTTTTTCCGTAAGAGCGTTTTTCAATGGAGAATGTAAGTGCTCACTGCTCATTCTACCTCTGGGCCTATTAGTTCCACTGATTGAATTCATGCTTTCCTTCTTCCACTGATTAGGAAATGAATGAGCCACCAGAAAAGCGCCAAATTCTGCTGAAGCGACCCAAAGAACTGTTCAAATTAATTAGGTTTTAAGTATACTAAAAAGCATTTCTCAGATAGTAAATAAACTGTATATCTAATCGAAAATAATGTGGCATTGATGAGAACAAATTGCATTTCATCAAGTTTTCCAAGAGGACTGATTGTTTTTTACATTCAGGAGACGTTTTTTCTTTTTTTAAAAAATAAATTTATTTATTTTATTTAGTTTTGGCTGCATTGGGTCTTCACTGCTATGCACAGGCTTTCTCTAGTTGTGGCAAGCGGAGGCTACTCTTCGTTGTGGTGCGCGTGCTTCTCATTGTGGTGGCTTCTCTTGTTGCGGAGCACAGGCCCTAGAGCGTGCAGGCTTCAGTAGTTGTGGCTCGTGGGCTCTAGAGCACAGG